AGATGAGGACAATAGTCCGAATAATGTAAAACTCAGCCATATTTTGGCAAATTCTGATGGTGGGAGTCGCTGGCTTTCCGTCATAATCCTGACTTTAAGCTGATGCTTAAAGGACAAGATCACTTCGGGAGAAGTGAACTTCTCGATCCCATAGAATTTCTTCTGTCGTGTCGTCCAAATCACGATTCTCATGACTCCCAGTAAGCAAACGGTATTCAGCCTTCATCAACGGCGGTACCACATTGCTTATAGACAAAAAATGTCCGCGCAGCATGCGAATAATGATACCTTTAGGACCCTGCAATGAAAGAAAGTGTGACCCAGGGTCTCCACTTCCTCATCACAGCGAAGACAGTTTGGAGATTTTTCCAAGCCTGCCGAACAAATTTTTTGCCGACCCAGAGGGTCCTTCGAATCACCAGCCAGGTGAGTCATACATGTTCGGTTCATGATATTCTCAGCATCCTTCTGTAGAACCACATTTCAGTTCCATTTCTCTTCTTCAGCTACAAAAAGATTGTCCAGCATTCACTACCATATAGGAGAATAGATATCTCCTGTTAATTCCCCTCTCCACTGCCTTAACCGGGTATTGAACTCACACTCTTTGGGTCCTGTCACTGGATCTGATAACTGGCATCCATTAAACATGGCACGTGGAACTAGAACAGTCTACCCCAATGAGCGAAATAAAGGGTTCAGTTCGACATTCCAACCACCTGAAGAAGGCCTGAGCGTACAACGACCGAAACCTTATAAATATGGCGACAAAGATGAGGACAATAGTCCGAATAATGTAAATAATTAACATTGCATTTAAATCTTTGAAGATGAAAGTTGACTGGAAAGCAAGAAACCGGAAGAGAGTTCCACAAACGAGAAGTGCGAGAGAAGAAACTGTTAGCATAGAACTTACGGTTACACTTAGATATTTCAACTGTAAAATAATGAGAACTTAGTTGCTAATCTAGTATTGTGCATAAATTTGTAAATTCGAGTTACCACAGAGGAAAGCTAATCAGAACAATTACTATGAAATTATTTATAGAAAAAGCACAGGGAAGCTACGTTACAGCGGTGGGAAAGTAACTGAAGCCGAGATGCCAGGTCAAAACGAATAACATTACAGATACTTATTTTCATTTTATCAAGAATCTCCAAATATATAGAAGCCACCAGACCAGATGTAACAGCAATAGTCAATGTATGTATTGGAGAGAAATATTCTCCCTAAGATAAAACTCTCTATATCCCTAAGAGTGATTATTGCTCTTGGCGGGAAATGGGATTCCAAGATGGTTACCTACCGCCACGGTGATAGCAAATCGATAAACATTATCCACAGCAATCCATGATTAGCACGAAATTGTAATTATCGAAATAAACTACCCTTATTATGCTTTTATCAAGGGATCGTTGCATTTTCTTATTTGTCCATTTTCCATCTTACCGGGTATCATAACAATATTGATGGATGGTAGACTTATAAATATGGAAGATCGATTCTAGAGAGAAAATTTGTGTAGCGCCACACAGTGAGCCAACTTTACTAGCAGCAGATCTAGCAGTTGATTCAATATAATCTTTCCACTTCATCTCAGTGATAAGCGTTAACCTGAGAAGACGCAACGAGTCACTCACCTGGAGCTTAGCGCCAATTAGGGGGAAGTCGATTAAAAGAGGGACGTTTCGTTTTGGATCCGTTAAAATTAAGTATCCATTTCTTGCCCCTGTTAATAACAGATTGCATGTCATTTTTTTAGATCAGTTGCCAATTTGACCTTATCGAACCGATCAAACTTACAATTAGGACGAGTAAATAGTTGTATCATCAACATATATATCAAGTTGAAAACGAAGGTCGTTAATGAAGATTACGGACAAAGTAGGTTCAAGCATAAAGCCCTGGAAAACACCAGCATTAATCCAAAAAGATCTATAAGTGCGAGTAGGCATTCAAGAGAACTTTCATTTTGCGATTTGATAAGACGGATTGAATCAGTTCCAAGATTAGTCTTCAGACACCATAACCTTTCATCTTATGAAGAAGACCAGCATGCCAAATCCTGTCAAACGTCTTCGGGATGTTCAAAGAAACAGCCTGAGTTTCACCATACTTATCTAAAACTTGATGGACTCTTTTCAGCAATAACCGCTAACACATCAGCGGTTGACATAGAGAGATGAAAGACATATTGCTTGTTTGAAAGGTGAAACGCTTAAACAATTCAGAATTGATTAGAGCCTTTAGTACTTTACCAAAAAAGGTAGAATACCAGTAGACTCATAGTTAGAAGGATTAGACGCTTCGCTTGAGTTCTTAAAGACAGGAACTACACAACAGGATCCTCAAAAATCCGGAAAATAAGAAGCGGCAAGAGCTTATAGAGAACAGGATCCGGTTCAGGTGCACATTTCTCAAACACTATTGAAAGGAGTACAGGATTTTCAAAAATCCGGAAAACAAGAAGCAGCGAGAGTTTATAGAGAACAGGATCCGGTTCAGGTGCACATTTCTCAAACACTATTGAAAGGAGTACAGGATTTTCAAAAATCCGGAAAACAAGAAGCAGCGAGAGTTTATAGAGAACAGGATCCGGTTCAGGTGCACATTTCTCAAACACTATTGAAAGGAGTACATGATTTTCAAAAATCCGGAAAACAAGAAGCAGCGAGAGTTTATAGAGATCAGGATTCGGTTCAGGTGCACATTTCTCAAACAGTACTGAAAGTTCTCATGCTTTGTGGGGATCCAGTTTAGAAGTGAAAGCAGAAACCATGGACGTACATACCACACAGTAGAGTCTCAGTTCTAATTGGAAAGTAAGGCAAAGATACATCAGATGTGTCAAGAATAGAATTGAAAAAGAATTTACGAGCAAAACATAGTAGTAGAAACCAGGAGATATATCCGGAAATGTCACCATTCAGAATATGTCATTTTATATCACCTTTCAAAATATGCCACCTTTCATAATATGTCACCTTTCACAATATGCTAATGTATGACATATATCCGGAAATGTCATCCTTCAGAATATGTGATGGTTAACAAGCTTGTTTTGTTAGAACAATTACTGAGTGATGAGTTCGATCCTCGCTGGGTGCCCTATGCTTTCGGCTTTGTGTCACATCCAAGCTACGCTTGGAAAATCATTCGGGTCACTTCGACGTGGTGTAATGGTTAGCATGCTTGTATCGCTAGATCAATTACGACTAAATAGTGAGTTAGGTCCTCACTGGGTGCCTCATACTTTCGGCCTTGTGCTACATCTAAGCTACGCTTAGAAAATCGCTATAAGACTTCTTGAGGCACTTCGACGTGGTGTAATCGTTGACAAGCTTGTTTCGCTAGATCAATTACGACTGAATAGTGAATTAGGTCCTCACTGGGTGCCTCATACTTTCGGCCTTGTCTCACATCCAAGCTACGCTTAGAAAATCGTGTTTTTTTTTTAAATATTTTCCTAGTGTTTAGATTTTTGTTTAGAGGTTCACTATTTGCCCATATCTGGGACCCTAAGAGGTGCTACCACGCCGGGTCAGGGTGGACTTTGAAATAACAACAATTAAGTGGTCGTTCCACGCTCCCCAAAATCTCCAATCTTCAGATCAGAAGCCTTGCTGCTGGATGCAGTTTATCGTCATACCCTGGACACCATATTCCATTGGTGAGTTGAAATTTCCACCCAGACAGCTTCTTCCTCAGAACTGTTGCACCGTGGAATGAACTCTCGAGACTATGCGTCCCTGATAACTACAATCTTAAACTCTTTAAATCGAGGGTCAACCATTATTTATGGTACATATCTTCAGAATATGTACCCATTGCTTCCTTCCAGTTTGTCTTTATAACATCCTCAGTTAATAACTCTCTACCTTAAGTGGTTCTTGGGCCTTGTATCGAGCGAACAATAGTACATAAGTATCGCTGTTACCATGGAAAGTACTCGGGCGAACTACATTCCTTGGTTCACGGCTAGGGCCCTCTATGCAACTTACATAGTACCAAACCACCTATATTTCTTCTGTATTCCATCGATAAGAAGTTCCACTCAAACAGCTTCTTCCTGCGAACCACTGATCTCAAGAGGATGTTTCCCCGATCACTAAAATCTTAATCTGTTCAAGGCTAGAGTTAACCATTATCTTGCCCACCTATCCATATAAATTACTCCCTTAACGTAAACCTTATCTAGGATGAATTTTACTGTAAAAAATAAATTATCTACTTTCTCAGTTTCAGATTTATTCTATGGTATGTTTCCTACTTGTTTACGATTACTAGATTCAGTATTCTGTCTTAGATTGGGTAATCTGTTTGAATCTGAAAGTGTTCTTGTTACCAATTGTAATAGTATTAGTAGTTATTGTTCTTTTTGCTATTGTTTCTAACTGCAAGTAATTACAAATGGTTTCAAGTAACAACGAGTCTCTTCAGGTGTCCAGTTTTCTCACTGATTTCAATAGATCTTTGGTCTGACCTTAATTCGTTATTGTTCCGACTTCTTTCAAAGAGTTATTTAAACTGTTAGCAGTATTCCATAGATTATGGTCACTACATTACGCCCTCATATTTACTAATTTTCGCCTCTCTCAAGCAAGGTCATGAAATGTATGAGTATTTTCATTCTCTTTCAATTTCAACCAGTGGACCGCTGGAACGTGTACATTGACTCACTATCGAGCTTCTTTTTACGAGTGGGTGCTGAAAAGTTTTCGGCTCGACCAAGAAGCACTTTCCTCTCACCAAAAATAAAAAATCTTATGTTTGGGCATTTCTTCATATTTGAGAAGATCAAGGTTGAGAACTTTTCGGTTCATCTTCAATTGAAATTATTCTGATCTTCAGATTATTGTTTTTCTTGAAGAATTCTCATAATTATTATCTTTATTATTACGCCTTCATCGGATTCATTATAATATTAACAGTTTCTGTTTTTTTTTTTAATACAATTTTTTACGTTTTACATGCTACGTCATTCTCCTTGAAGTTCTGGATGTTTTTTTTTCTTCTTCCTGTTCATATGTCTTTCTTCATTCATTTAATTCATTTGACCCATTTTTGTTTCTTTTCTTCTTCTTTTTTTCATCTTTTTTCTTCTTTTTCTTCTCTTTTACATAATACTATTTTCTACATTATCATTTCGGTTCTTTTATCTTTTTTTTTCATTCATTAAATCTTTTTGTCCATTTTTTCTTTTCTTCTTATTCTTCTTTATTCTTTTTTTTTTCTTCTCTTTTACATCATACCATTTTCTAAATTATCTTTTTGTTTCTTTTTCTTCATACATTTAATTCTTTTGGACCATTTTTGTTTCTTTTCTTCTTTTTCTTCTTTTGCATCATACTATTTTCTACATTATGTTTTTGTTTCTTTTACCTTTTTATTTATTCATTGATATCATTGGATCCATTTTTTTTTCTTTTCCTCTATTTCTTCTTTCTTCTTTTTCCCTTCTTTTTCTTTTTTTTTTTTTTTTTTGATTCTTTTACCTTTTTATTTACACATTTAATTCTTCTGGTCTATTTTTGGTTATTTGTCCTTTTTTTTTCATTTTCTTTATTTTTTCATTTTTATTCTTTTTCTTTTTTTTTTTTTTTTTTGCTATTTTTCCCTAATTTTTCAGTTCTTCCTTTCTTGGTGTTATTTCAACTTTTGTTTTTTCTTCTTTTTTTTTCGCTTTTTTTTCATCTTTTCTTTTCATCTTTTAGCTTTATTCTGGTTCATTTTCCCTTTTCGTCATTTTATTTTCATTTACTTCTTCGTCTTTTTCATTCCTTTTTTATTCGATTTGTTCTTGATTTCGTTTGCTATTCCCCTTTTTATCCTAACCCTCTTCAGCTTTTCACTCCGCTCCCTCGTTTTACACATCCTTCAACTTCGCCGCCATCATCAACAGCTCAACGGCCGCTGTTTCTTTTAATTGTTCCCCTCTCCGTATATTAGCCAAATTTGGGCATCATTAGTGCGCGACAACTTATTCATCATTCTTTCAACAACAACAACAAGAAACAATCTCTCTCATTCTCATTCCCTTATTTATTCACTCGATCATTCAATTACATTCTCATTCCTGTTAGTCATTCAATTTTTTCTTCGTTCGTTTATTTATTCCTCCTTATCCATCTCTTGCAAATTCACTCGTTCTATCATTCAATGGATTATTCATTCACTTTCTCTCGCCCAGTCACATATTTGCAATTCCTTCTTTTTTTTTCGTTCATTCAAGCTTTCATTCACAAAACTAGCCTACCCATTCTGTCATTGTTTCATTCACACTGTTCGTCTTCTCATTCAATATTCAATGACGCTATCGACAACAACAAGATTAACCGTATAAACGCTACCACTGCTTCATTCATATTGCTTACACGTTTTTCGCGGGGGCGTCTAACGTGACTTCCTTTCTCTTTTACGAACGTGTTTGGATTAGCCAATGCTTAAAAAAGTTACGTATTTTCAACAACAAAAAAATGAAAACGGTTATGTCAATAGGAAAAAAAATATTTTTTTTATAAGAGACGCCTTTCAAAATGTCCATTTGTAAATGAGACTTTATTCTTATATATGTGTGTATGTGTATCTGTTCGTACAGCTCTCTTGTGTACATATGTATATCTCTCTCTATGTGTGTGAGAGAGAGGGGGAGAGAGAGAGAAAGTAAAAAGCACTTGAATATTTCTTTCTGAGAATACACTGTTCGCGTAGAAATCGCTTGGTAATTTAAGCTTCCAATTTTATATACTGACCTATAGAAATGATTATCGAGTAATGAACTAACTGACGCCAGTTTACATTGGTGTATTTTAATGTCGTTATTTGAAGTGAGATTTTAAAATCGATTTCTAACTCTAGGCAGCCCTTCCTCGTTTACGAAAGATCAATGAATGACTTTGTATTATTCGCAAACAAAAACAATTAAATCAAGAGTGACCATTGTGGTTATCCCTACATCGCTTCGCCAGTTTCGAGAAGAAGCCGTTAAAGCACGCTGTTAAGCGCTCATAAAAACAGAGACACTTCCTATCATCACTCTCATATATCTCTTTACTTCCCAGCATGCTTTAGTGACACTACGCTGCAATCTTAATCTGTTCAAGTCTAGGATTAACTGTTATCTTCCCCAGATATCCGACTAATCTCTGCCTTTTACTCATAACCCTCTACCTCGAGTGGACACTGGGCCTTAAACATCACTATAAAAAAAGCAGTTCTGTAACAATTGAGAACAACGTCCCTCTTCTTCTTGTTACCCTCTTATCTCTCTTTTCCTCGCAGCATACCTTAGAGGCAACATCACCAGAGCCTTATTCCCGGGCACGAGGATATCTTTCCCCTTATTAACTGAACTTTTTCACACACAGACGCACACACAAATACATATGCGCGCGTGTATCACCCACATAATTCCTAACTTAGAATGTTTTCTTTCTTTTACATGCATACTGTATTTTCTCTCTCTTGTTACTCAATTATATAAAAACAAAAATATAAAATATCGCTTTGTTGAAATTCATTCATTTTCCTTACACTGCTCATTTACATGTGCAAAATATTGTTGCCACTTCTTTTAGTCTGAACTAGAAGCACCTTCAAAAGTCTAGATGACCAGAAATTGACAGCTGATCTCTCATCTGATCTAGCTCTAACGTCTCAGCGAAGAAAAATAGTTGAGTATATTCAATGCCTGGAAAATAGAACAAGCTACTCTCCATCATCGCCGACTAGACCCCAAACAATCACTGGCCAACGATCTTTTTACTTTCCTTAAATGATCTGTTATTTGTGAATATCTATGCTAATGATGCAACGGTATGTGGGTGCACATTCGAAAGTCTAGATGACCAGAGCTTGGCAGCTGATCTCTCATCCGATCAAGATCTAACGTCCCAGTGAAGAAAAATGGTTGATTATATTCAATGTCTCGAAAATAAAATGAACTACTTTCCATCATCGCCGATCGGACCCTAAACTCTCACTGACCAACCATTCTCTCTTTTCCTCCCAGCATTCTTCATTGACAACAACACCAGGATCTTGCTCCCGTAGTTAGGGATATCTCCCGTCTTAGTAACTGAACATTTTCACGAAAAAACACACACCCGTGTGTATCCATCGCATAATTTCTAACGTTTAATATCTTCTCTCTCTTGTTACTCAGTGATATAAAAGCAAAATTATAAAATATCGCCTTATTGAATTTATCTTCTATTTCCTTATACTCGTCATTTACATATAAAGGATGTTTCATTAAGATAGATTATATATATAAGGGTGTTTCATTAAGACGGATCAAAGTCAGCAGTAAATAAATCAGTGTTATTGGTGAGAATTTATTTATTTCCCTGTTGGATCATGTTATTTAAGTCATGGCAATTATGTGTGAAAAATAATATCGCCCAAATGTCCGCCAAGGCTTCGGCGGCACACTTCCACTCGTTGGTCAAAATTTTTGATGATATCTCTGCGTCGTTGCACCTCGATCTCACCAATATGCCTTATTATCTCATCCTTCAGTTGTTGAATTCTTGTTCGCTTATGGGCATAGACCTTACTTTTGAGATAACCCGAAAGGAAGAAAACTAAGTCAAGTCGCACGATTGTTGTGGCCAATTTGCTGTTTCGAGAGATAATGTGACCTGGGAACTTTTCATTGCATTTCTGTTTGAACGTCCATTTTCGTAATAGGCTTCAATAACTTTAACACGTTGTTTGATTGTTAACCTTTCCATGGTTAAAATTGCCAAAAAAGTTGTTAAATCTGAAAGAAAAAGAAAAAATCATTAAACGTTTAAACTTAGATTGCATTTAAAATCGGTCCAAGTTATTGGAACACCCTATACTTTTTTATTGCACTCTCATGTTTTCTTTCACTCTCAATGTTTTATTTTGTTCTTTTGAAACATTTTTGAAACAGACGCCTTTTGTTTTCCGGGTGTGTTAAAGTTATTGAAGCCTATTACGAAAATGGACGTTCAAACAGAAATGCATTTCGCGCACTTCAAGATTTTCCTACATAACAGACCAACCGTGAGTGCAATTGGAAACGCTGTAACGTTATTGTAGAGCGGTTCACTTCCTGCGCACGATGACGAATACAGGTGCCTTGATTTTCGGCCACATTATCGTGCACTGCAGAAATGTTTTTAGCTGAACACCGTAAACAAGCACACAATGGTGTTTTCATATCTGCCACCGACCCAGTGTTTGAATTTACGAATTTGAATTTTTCCAATTGCACTCTTGAAACTTTAACATGTTGTTTGATTGTTAATCTTTCCATGGTTGAAATTGCCAAAGATTAAGTTGTTAAATCTGAAAGAAAAATAAAAACAATCATTAGACGCTTAAACTTAATTCACATTTTTTAAATTATTCCAAGTTACTGGAACACTCTTATTGTTGTCACTGTTTTTAGTCTGACTAGAAACTACCACATTTGATTGTACTCTGAATAATGTCTTCATATGTAATCTCTATGTTTTCTTAACTTGTGAAATCATCAATTTCACTTCTATACTCCGATTAAACATTACTACAGTGCAGGAGAATGTAGCCGGAAATCCAGACCCCTCTATTCGTCATCGCGTGCAGGAATTGAACCTTTCCACAACAACGTTACATCGTTTCCAATTGCACTCTCTGTTGGTCGATTATGTCGACCAAAACAATCGTGAAATGCGCGAAATGCATTTCTGTTTGAACGTCCATTTTCGTAATAGACTTCGATAAATTTAACACGTTGTTTGATTGTTAATCTTTCCATGGTTGAAATTGCCCCCAAAAATAAGTTATTAAATCTGAAAGAAAAAGAAAAAAATCATTAGACGCTTAAACTTAATTCATATTTAAAATCGGTCCAAGTTATTGGAACACCCTTACTGTTGCCACTGCTTTTAGTCTGGCTAGAAGCTATCATATTAGATTGTACTTTGAACCATATCCTAATATGTAATCTCCATGTTTTCTTGACTTTTGAATTCACCTCTATACTCCGATTAAACTCTAAAACTCGATTAAACTCTATGTTTTCGATTCTTTCTAAGATCTCTTTAGTTCTCTTTCGCTCCCAATAAACCCTTGAACCTTAGTGACATTATAGCCTTGCTTGTAGTGAATTGATTAAAAAAAATCTCGTGTTTAGAAGATGACGATCCCTCTGGTTATGGACGCTCTGGCCGATGATGCCGATAGTTCGCCACCCCTAAAAGTAGCTTATGGCCGTCTGAGAGTCAGACAGACGATGGTTCTCCTCGACCTTCTTTCCTCTCGCACTCACTATTATTTGCAATGACTTCTTGTCGCTTATCAGGCAGCTCTTCGATACTTTTTGAGTAAAATTCCGCAAGTTTTGATCGGAAAAGTTTTTCGACGATTTTTTTAATCTTGTTTTCATTAGAGAAAGTTTTCCACATGAAAGCGTTTTGCAGCGATCGAAAACGATAATAATCGGTTGGTGAAAGGTCATCTGGCTGGTGGCAGTAAAACAGACCAACCGAGTTCCAAATTTTTTTCCAAATTTTGTTCGGAGAGGTATGTGAACCGGACAAAAAGGCGAACTTATCTATTCAACGCAAGCAAGGCAATAATGTTACTAAGGGGCAAGGGGTTACTGGGTGTGAAAGAGGATGCAAAAGACTTTAGAAAGAATCGAAAACGAAATGTTTAATCGGAGTATAGCGTGAACCGGACAAAAGGTGAACCTATCTATTCCTATTGAGTATTATGGTGATTATCTAAGCGTTGTTTAGACATGGCACAAGGCCGAAAGTATGGGGTATCCATTGAGGATCGGACTCACTAATCAGTTTTTAATTAATCTAGCGAGACTAGCTTGCTAACAATTATACCACGCCAAGGTGCCCTAAAATGACTTTCTAGGCGTAGCTTAGATGTGACACAAGGCCAAAAGTATGAGGCACCCAGTGAGGACCGAACTCGCTATTCAGTCGTAACTGATCTAGCAAGACAAGCTTGCTAACCATTAGACCACATCGAAGTGGCATAAATGATTTTCTAAGCTTAGTTTGGATGTATCAAAAGGCCGAAAGTTTGTGGCACCCAGTGAGGATCGAACTCACTATTCAGTCGTAACTGATCTAACGAGACAAACTTGCTAACCATTACATCACGCCGAGGTGCTCGCTCTTATTGTGTACTAGCAGCATGGCCCGGCGTTGCCCGTGCTTGATTCAAAAATCGTACGATTCATACAGCAATCGCTATCACTTGACTTAAAATATTTTCGCCCTTCCTTGCCTTTAAAAGAGTGCCCTTTGCCGTGCTGATGTTGCTACATGCCTTACTTCTTGCCTATCTCACACTGCGAATTTTTTTCTAAGCTCTATACTAAACATTAAATCTGTTACGAAAAAGAACTAAACAAAATGAACACAAAA